CCGTGGGCTATGGCGCGGCAGAACCAGTGCCGAATCATATTCGAAATAATTTCACTCGATTATATTCGTTTTAGAAATTCTCAACGCATGATATAAACGGATGGGATCACTTAAGATCGACCAGGGTAATCCGAGTATATGATACATGGGTACAATACATCAATAGTTCAAATAGAAAATAAGACAACACAATGAAATTTCTAGTACATAGCTACATTGATCATTAATAAAGCATGGAACTAACAGACGACGCAATCAAAAACCCTCAGTCAGAAACATACTGAGTAAGCAACTCATCGTCCGAGTACCAATCCTCAACCACAACCCTGTTGCTATGGCTAGGCTCACCTGCATTGCCCTGATCTACCTTTCGCTTGTAGTAAGCGGCCTCCGCTTCATCTGTGGCCTGAGACAAGAACACGTTCTCTTCCTCCTCCGTCTATAAGCCCGCCTTTGCTAGAGCGATGAGCTCGCTCAGTCTGCCAGTGTCATCCTCAGCCTCCACCTACAAGCCTGCCTCTGCTAGAGCGATGAGCTCGTTGAGTCTGGCAGTGTTGTCCTCATCCTCATCCCCTCATCAGACAACGGTGCGACTAGCTCGCTTTTTGTGCTTATCTAACTTCTTTTCCTCATACCTTGCATGAGCCACCTCTGCAGCATGTTCCTCGCTGCATCCAATCCCTTCATGTATAAAATGCAATCCGTTAGCAACGCGATTATATTACATTTAAAATCAGGCAACGAAAAAAGGCTTTCAAGCCCTCACTGGGACATAATAAAACAACATGCTCGTTCAAGACCTACATCTGTACTCTTGTCTCCTCCCTTGCCTCCTTTCTTGCCCTCTCCTCCTCTAACGTCATCCGTCTCTCCAATCCCCATTTATCAAGCCCAACATCGATCGGGTTACAAATACCGCACTGTCTAGCAAACTCACGCATCTTATCTTTGTGATGTTTAACGAATAGGTTGATGTAGTCAGGTTCGTATCCCATCTTCCGTGCAATTACTTGCTTCCCCTTCAGTTCATCCAAGAACTTAGCTTGACCATCATAGCATTCTCACCTGTATTTCCTAGTGCTCTGTTCAAACGAAAACTATATCTTATGTCTTAGCAAAAGAAACAAAATACAATTTCATGGTTACCACAAAAATAACCAACCTCATCATAGTCAACCGTATGGCCGCAATAATGGCCTATTCCAAGCTCCGAAGGGACTAGACCGTAGTTGGATTTAACACCACATTCGCACTTGACTGGAGGTGCTTTGTAAATTAACTTTTCTTTCTTCTTTTGCTTTGCCTTTGGAGGTTCTTCTGGCCATTGCTTCTTAGGACCATACAACCACTTCTTGAAATGACACTTCGCCATTGAAAACATCTAAATAAATTGACATTAGTACATGAACACATATAGCTCAACATTTCAACACATACACTTTGCACTTACTTCGTGCTTGTTTGGACACACAAACTCCAACGTATTCTCAGGGTTTATCACAGCTCGATCTCCGCAATCGCACAGAGGAGGTTCCTCGAGTCGTCTAACTGCGGCTAAGTGCTTCTCCTTAGCCGTCATTGGAGGGGGGTTAGGGGGAGGTGGAACCCACCACTGGAAGTGCTCTCGTGGATGTCGCCCTCTCCACCAATCGTCGAAAAGTAGGTACCTAGGGTCAAACTTGTCTGCACCGTCGATCCACTGAAAGAAAAAGCACCTCTCATGGACCTACACAATAAAATTCCAACAAAATATTAGTAACCTAGTAATACAAATTAAGAAAAAAACATACGGAAACAATTACTTACATTAAAACGACTGCATGTGTAGAAGTAACGAGCCGCTGTGTCTGGATGTCTCGATTGAAGCACGTCGGTCGGACGACCACAATCACAGTTAGGGATAGGGAGGTCAGAAGGGATGGGGCATCTTTGCTAGACTCATCGGGGTACAATTCTCTAGGATGACACCGTTTTCACCACAACTACTCCCGAAACATGTCTTCCATCTAATAAAACGGTTCAAATTAAACATCAATCAAAACAACGCAAATTATTGTAAAATATAATCATTTGCATTGCAACTAAAATAATATAACCAACACTTATAGCAAAAAATATATACATGGTAAACATACTTCTAACTAAATAATTAACCTTAATATTGACAAAATCAAACTAATATCTTCCTCCAAACCGTAGCCCAAAGTTCCCAAACATAATTTTCCTCCTAACCTTAACTCTCATTCATAATATTCCTATCCACCATTCAAACGAAAAAAGTACGTCATTACCTTGAACGGGGCCGAGGAGGGAGGGAGGCGGCCGGGGAATGGAAGGGAAGGGAGGGAGGGAGGCGGCCGCGGGCAGGCGGGCTGGCGCTGGCGCGGCGGTGGGCGTGGCAGCCAGGCACGGGCGGGCGCGGGCAGGCGGGCTTGCTGCTCGTGCAGGTGGGCCTTTTATTCGGCTCTGTCACGCCACTGATCAGGGCATGGCAGAGCCGTGCCAGGATCGGTGACGCGGCAAGCCCTGCCACGTCACCGGTCAGCATTTTTGGTCGTCGCCGCGTCAGCCACCCGCTGCGCCACCATGCATGGCGCGGCACAGGCATTTCGCCGCGCCATGGAAATAGGCGCGGCCAAAAGTGTTAGTTTTGAAAAAAACAATGTTAGATTTAAAATTAGTTTACAAAAAGTGTTAAAATTAAAAAAAATTCCCCCAGTCATCCAGTCAATCTCATCAGTGTAGATGCTATAGAAGAAAGTTGCATGTAACTGGGCTAGCACTTCTTCATTCCAATTATGTCTGAAGCTCATAATATCAGTGAGGCCAAACAACTCACAAGCCATTGGGGGAAGAGGATGGGTATAAATATCAACTCAACCCCAATGGTCACTTAAGTCACGGCAGTGCCGCGGCTTAAGTGCGGCAGTGCCACACCAGTCAAGACAGTAAGGGTAAGAGTGAAGTTTAGGCTATCTTGACTGTGAATCTGAGGATGCATGTGTATGTTTGAGCACTTGGTAGCACATGTTAGCTTAAGCATTGTGTCTCTTTTATAGTACGGCTTTTCCTATACTCAAATTCAAAATATTAAAGATTTTAAACCTCCTATGAGTTTGAAGCCATCAACATTTGTAATTGGGGGCTCCTCCGTTTCGTGTAGCATCCTCGAATATAAATTCCCTGCTTATCATCTCGATAAATCTTATTAGTTCTCTAATTGCGTGGTCATTATCACCAAAACCCACAATTAGGGCTTGATTGCACTTTTAATTCCCCACCGCTCGCTCGCCGCTCGCCTTCTCCCGTGCGATTGTCACTCACCTCGGCCTTCTCCAGCGCGAGGGTGCCTTGCTACGGGCACGACAGCCGCCCACTGCGACCTTCTCCCACGCAGGGGCGCCTCGCCACGCGAGGCTACACCTGCCCGACCGCTGTTGCCGCCTCCACTGCGGGTGCCGCTTGCCAGGGCTCCGCCGCCTGCCCACTGCTATCCTCCTCTACCGCGGCCTAGCGCGGGAACTCGCTATGTAGTGCTCTGCCTGCCCGCTTGCTAGATTTTGCTGAAAACGCATGCTGCAAGAGTTTGTTTCAAGCGTTTTACAGGTATGTTGTAAGTATTGTATATCGATGCTGCAAAAGTAGATCGGGATATTGCACTGTTGTCAATGGCTATACACGTATGTTTCAAGTGTATGTTCCAAATGTTTCATCTGTTCCAGACGTATGTTGCAAATGTTTTATCTGGCGTTTCAAAAGTAAATCTGGATGTTGCGTATACATGTATATTTTTTTTACGAAACATATACATGCACGTTGCAAGCATATGTTTTAAGTGTTTTCAGGTGTTTCATACGTATGTTGCAAGTGTTTAATCTGGATGTTGCATATGTTTGCAATGGTTTTCAAGTGTTTTCGGGTATTTTTGTAAGTGTTTTAGACGTTTGTTTCAAGTGTTTCATCTGTCTTCTTTTGTATGTTGTAACTATTGCATCTGCATGTTTTAAAGGTAGATCGGGGTATTGCACATGGAATGCACATGGGAAGTGGCCGGTGGCGCGGGCGACATCCGGGACGGTGTGGGCCCACTCCTGGAGCGCTCGCGCACAAGCCCGACGTGCTAGGGCACTCGCATGTTCGCTGCGCGGGCCACCGTCTGAATGCTAACGCATCGGATCGGACGTCCGGACACTAGTGGATCCGTTAGGTAAGGGACCTCGCTGTATATAGATTTAAGTCCACGAGCAAGTAGCAACCGAATACCGTTCGATCTCATCTTCTTGTATCTCTGAACGCGTTCCGCTGTATATAGATTTAAGTCCACGAGCAAGTAGCAACCTAATACCGTTCGATCTCATCTTCTTGTATCTCTGAACGCGTTCAGACTTCGGTAGTTCGGTTCTTCCTCGGAACAGGAAAGCTCCATCCCTAGCATGAACTCATGGCAGAGGACGATTCTGGGCTGGGAGCTGCTGAAAAACTGAGGCATGACGAGCGTCATGCCTTGCTATACTGGAAGGTCCGCCGTTGCTTTTGAACCTCTCTAAAATTGGCTTGATGCTCAAACAAATAGGGTCTGAGGGTTTGGTTTGGTCCCTTCGCTTGGTACTAATACTATACTATGTTGTCTCGCCAGGTACCACAGGACCCATGCAAACGAGATTTCCTTGCTAGTTCAAACAAACCGAAATGGTTCGCTCATCCTGGCAAGTAAAAGCTTTGCCCAAGCGAGCGAGGCGAGGTGACGGCATGACGGGCGAACAACATTGTACGATGCGAGCGGAACAAATGGGCCCCCGGTCCAGAAATGAAGAAGCCTTAAGCGATGGAATCAACTTTCACTTAAGCCCACGGATCCAGCGGCCCAGCGTGAGAGGCGGAACTCCCTGGCCTTTTTCTCTCCGTCCCAAGCTGCTGCACGCGCGCACCGCCCCTCGCCGCCGGCCTCTGCTCCTCTTCCTCCTCCGCCGCCGCCGCAGGAGCTCGCCTCGCCGGAGACCATGTACCGCGCCGCCGGGAGTCACCTCCGCTCCCTCAAGGTTCGGCCCTCCTATTCTCCCCTGCCTTCCCCGTTGCATGCACGTCTCGATCCACTCGGTATGAGCGCACTTAAGTTAGATCCGAACGGGTCGCCGGAGTCGATTTGCTCATGTAGCGATGAATCAGAAGCTGGGTTCTTTAGTCCTACTTCCGTGTAGGGACACAAATGAATCGAGTTCGGAGTTATAATTTTTTCTTCTTAGTAACGAATCTCATGGGGATGGAATTCGGCAGGCAGCTTTGATTGTTGTCGATTCTCATATTTGTCTCGCAGTGTTAGATTTCACATGCCCTTTGAGTTGTCTTTCGTTGACGCATTCTGTAAGCCTGAAGACATATTCCATTCTTGTATTGTTTTCAATTTTCAGCATCATGGTGCTTCTAGGTTTGCCAGCACAAGTGTTGTGAAGCAGTCCTCAGGTGGTCTGTTCAGCTGGCTTCTTGGTGGAAAGTCGAGCGAACTCCCTCCCCTTGATGTTCCGCTCCCAGGCATTACCATTCCCTCACCTCTACCAGATTTTGTAGAGCCATCTAAGACAAGAGTCACTACACTTCCAAATGGCGTCAAGATTGCCTCGGAGACATCATCGGTATTGCTCTGCTCTCACATATGTTAAAGTTCTGGTTTTGTTTTGTTTTCCATGACATCAATGTTTTCTTGTTTACTTAATTTCAGAGCCCAGCAGCATCTGTGGGTCTGTACATTGACTGTGGTTCCATTTACGAAACACCTGCTTCATCTGGAGTATCACATCTGTTGGAGAGAATGGCTTTCAAGAGCACAGTGAATCGGACTCACTTACGGTTAGTTCGTGAGGTAGAAGCCATTGGGGGAAATGTCTCTGCATCAGCTTCCCGTGAACAAATGAGCTATACCTATGATGCTTTGAAGAGCTATACACCAGAAATGGTTGAAGTTCTCATTGACAGTGTGAGGAATCCAGCATTCCTCGATTGGGAGGTCAAAGAGCAGGTACTTGATCACTGAAAGTAAATTTAAGTTCTTTTTTCTTCCTTTTTATGTACTAATGGTGTTATTCGTTTCTACAGCTCCAGAACATAAAATCTGAAATAGCTGATGTGTCTGCTAATCCTCAAGGTCTACTTCTGGAGGCCCTTCATTCGGCTGGATATTCCGGGGCACTAGCAAAACCTTTGATGGCTTCAGAATCCGCTGTAGACCGATTGGATGTTAGCATCTTGGAGGAATTTGTTGCTGTAAGATGCAGTGATTTATTTCTCAAGTTAATGCTTAGTCATGAAGGCGTCTCTGTGACTTCTTTGCTTACTGTGATAAATGTAGGAACATTACACTGCTCCCAGGATGGTTCTTGCAGCATCAGGAGTTGAGCATGATGCGTTGGTTTCAGTTGTAGAACCACTTCTGTCTGACCTTCCGAGTGTGAAACGTCCTGAAGAGCCGAAATCTGTGTACGTGGGAGGGGACTATCGCTGCCAAGCAGATTCTCCAGTGAGTTGTTGGCATTGCATTATTATTATTGAGGTGTTATGAATGATTTACTTCAATTGTGCTTAAAGTTGGATTCCTTGGGAACAGAGCACACACATTGCACTTGCTTTTGAGGTGCCAGGAGGATGGAATCAAGAGAAAACTGCAATGGTTGTGACGGTGCTTCAGGTATGCCTTACGACTGTTGAAATGATCTAACTATTTATGGATACTATAGGCCATTTGTTCTATATAAGAATTGTTGATGCTTTCTTATGTATTTTTGAACTTAATTTTATATGTTATTACATGTGCTTGATGCGTATTCAAATCTAATGATGCTTCAAAGATATGTTGATCGATTTGTTGTTCTGTAGATGCTCATGGGAGGAGGAGGGTCCTTCTCTGCTGGCGGACCTGGAAAGGGAATGCATTCTCGATTGTGTATGCCTCTTTACAGATCATTACTGTCATAGAGTTATGCAAGCAAACTTATGTGATGTATCCTAACATGACCTTTGATCCTATATCCACAGATCTCCGTGTCTTGACCAACTTCCAACAGCTTGAATCATTCTCTGCTTTCAACAGTGTCTATAACAATTCGGGCCTTTTTGGAATTTATGCAGTCACTGTAAGCTTCTTTCCTGGAGCACAGTCTAAATTGTGTATGCCCTTGTGTTTTAACAATTAATGCAGCTGACTGATTTTTTTTTTAAATATTATCATTCAACAGAGCCCAGACTTTTCATCGAAGGCTGTGGATTTGGCAGCAGGGGAACTCCTGGAGATTGCGACTCCTGGAAAAGGTTTCCTTCTTGACAATCATCCTGTTTCCACTCTGGATTGACCATTATCATTCACATTCCTTTGTGCTCCATCTTTTACCTCCTGTAGTTACACAAGAACAGCTTGATCGTGCTAAAGAGGCAACCAAATCTGCAGTTCTGATGAACTTGGAATCAAGGGTACACTGTTCTTGGTCCTGATCAAATCCTAACTGTATGACTTGTTTCCCTAAAGTGTCCTTTACACTACATACTTTTGCTCTTCTGCAGTCTATAGCATCTGAAGATATTGGAAGACAGGTTCTGACTTATGGGGAAAGGTATGAGAGTATTGCTATGCTAGTACATAAATTAAGTCTATTTTCTGCTATATTTTGTACTGTGTCCTTGCAAAAATATCAATATTAGTCATGCTAGACAATTTTCTATAATATAGTACTTCAAATATGTTTGGGTCCCCAACAAGTCTAAGCATGTTGAGAGTGTGGATGTATGCTTAGACCACCCATATTCAAGTCTTCTTTTGAGATGAATTTGGGTGCCTATTTTTCTTCTTAATGTAAAGCCACCTAGTTACTCAAAAGTTGGTATATTTTTTTTAGTCCAAGTAGTTCCAAGGCATAGCAGTAATTTCTTACCAGTGCAGTAGTGTCCATTTCCGTGTAAGCTAATATTTCTTCAGAGTCCAGACATTGTGTAGGGCATTATTTTATAATGTGTCCATTATTCGCTTCTGCCAGTAGATCTGTTGTCATCTTCAACTGATTCTACGTTTCTGAAATTTCAGGAAGCCCATTGAATATTTCCTGAAAACAGTTGAGGAGATCACTTTGAATGACATTTTGTCAACTGCAAAGAAGATGATGTCCTCACCGCTCACAATGGCGTCGTGGGGCGATGGTATGTTCAGTATTTTCGAGTTAAGTCACGGTGCCCGACAAGGTATGGCGACTTACTGAGTTGCTGTTATTGCAGTTATTCATGTTCCTAGCTACGAGTCTGTCAGCCGCAAGTTCCACTCGAAGTGAGGATTCAGCATTGGACTTTCATGGCCTGTTCCAACAACTGAAGGTGAAGCCTGCAACGGTCCCTCAGCTGGAATAGTTACTCACACATAATAAAAATCATGTGGTTTGTAGTGCCCCTTCCCTGCGTGTATACACCAAACATGTTTTTGATAAGAATCATCCAAGTCCCTTGGCAACTCATTTTTTATTATCGTGGCGGCACTAGATTTTATGTGGATAAATGAGCTTTCTGGGTAAGCTCGTGCAGAAATATTTTGCCAGCATATTTTGCAGTTTAGACCAGAAAGACACGTGTATCATTTTGCCTGTGTTGTGTTGGATGCATGGCGTACATCTTTTGCAATTTTGGCTGTTACTGTTTCCGTCGATTCTGGCATGTGTGCGCTGGCGCCCGTGTGACTGTATTGTTTCGATAAGATTAGCTGCATGTGTGTGCTCGCGCCCGTGTGACTGTTAGCCTGTTCGGATGGCTGGTTCGTTTCGTTGTTGGTTTGTGAAGAAGTACTGCTGGCTGGTTTGTGTGAGAGAAAAATACTGTTCCGGCTGAAAATTTACGATCGTTTACGACAAGCCACGGCCAAACGAACAGGCTATGTATTGTTTCGATAAGATTAGCTATTCTCTTTGTGTGTTTTCTGTACGCGAATCAAAATCAATGGCTGTCACAGGTAAAATGAACCGTTGGAGTGTAGGTTTGATTTCTTGTGGAATTTAATTAACTTCACACGGCATCCCATTCAAAGCCAGTGGGATGTTGGGCTTGAGCATAAGAGTGCAAACAGAAGAAAAACTGTGGCGTAACATAAGTGTTGAAAGGGCAGTCCTTTTTCGTTTTTCTGAAAGGATAGTCTTGGAATGCCCAAAATGCGTAGCATTCGAAGAAACAGAGCGTCGTCGTGTGCAGCAGGACCTGAGGCCCATTCTTGGCAGTGGCGTAACTATGGCAGCAGGAGCAGGGTGCTGCCCAGGCTGACGTCGATGGACTGGCCGCCCGTACCAGCGGCGTAACCGAGCGCGTAAGCATTGTTCGCCCGAGTCGTGTTGGTTGCCGACTTGCCGCTGTAGAGCTGTCGCTTATATGTCTCGGTGTCTCCTGCAGCTGCGCCACCACGTCGGGACGTCGGTCATGGTGGATTGGTTGGCCTCTCCGCCGACGCCTGCGCGGCTGCGCGGTGTACTTGAGAGCGACGTCCGCGACCTTGCAGACGCCGTTGACGTCGTAGCCCCCGCCGACCCCGCGCGTGTCCACGACGCCCTCGAAGAACCCTCCAAGAAGCCATCGTACACTTGACTGGCAACTTCAGTGCCATCCTCCGAGATGTAGAAAGCGCTTGGAGGGCAGCGGCATCATGTTTCACGTACCCCGCCGAGATGTTGTAGTTCGCGCTGGCGTCCGGGACGTAGGGAAGCTCGGTGGCGTTGTTCACGTAGCTCACCGTCCGCGGTGGACTGCAGTCGATGCTGATGAATCCTGCAATAGCCACTGCGAAAAGTCATCCATTGATTTTGTCGAACAATTTGCTCCCCCATCGTACACTTGACTGCAACTTCAGCGCCATCCTTCGTATTGAAACCATATTGCTCAGTGCTTTCAAGTTAAAGTCATTAAGAAACGATCGCCCTGTTCGCCTGAACTTATCAGCCATGGTATAATATTTTTATCTCACAATAAAACAGCATCAACCGGCTTATCAGACGCAAAAATCATCAACCGAACAGCTCGAATGTGTGCGGACACAGATATATAGAAAGTCTCTCATTTTCTTTTTAGAAAATTTTTTTAAGGCATCAAGAATGTTGCTCGACGATTTCTAGCGAAGGCTCTTTATGAGGCTACAGCTCCGCACCCATTTAATCCGAAAGGGCTTGTTTTCCGACGCGCCTGATCATAGGCCCATTCACAAGCACGGGCCAGATATTAGCTTGGACTAACGATGGCGTTGTTAGGCCTCCACAATGTGGGCCTAAGTGATGCCTAAAAGAGGAGAGAAATGATTTAGGAATCGCTCTTCACCACTGCAGCCAGCGATGCCAGCTTCACGCGATGGCAAGAAAACACGGAGCGGCATAGGTAGTTGCGCTTGCGCCGATGCCCATCGATGCCCAGTCAATAAAAAAACGATTTCATTGCTCCTCTTCCGTGCTCATCCTCAACCGAACGGAATAGAATAGGGGGCCCGGATGATTCTTGATGGCTTTGGTGCTAACATTTCTCACACTGCAACTCTCAGAGATTCGGTGCCCAGTAGCCGAATTGGGACCCATAATTTTTGTGGCATCACTCCCACACCGCTACAAGCAGCAGATGCTAGAAAGAGTTTCTAAAAAAAAGCAGATGCTGGAAAGAATATAACAGTTCATCAAATTGTGTTGTTTGAATCGTCCGAGCGATGTTCATTGGATTATGCGCTCTGTTCGTTTGAACTTATCAGTCATGGTATAATGTTTTTCTTTCATAATAAAACAACACCAGTCGATTTCTTAGCCGTAAAAACCATAGGCGGAATAGCTCCAAGGTAGTTGTGTCCATTAGTAAAACAATCTGCAGGTGAATTTACAAGAGGAGAGACGGGACGGATAATAATGAGATATGATGGACTTTGACCTATGGGAAGTCAAAGAAAGAAGAACCGAAGAATTGTGTCTCCTCTTTCAAATCAAAGTAGATAGATATCGATCGATCCATAGATAGATACTCCCTCCATTTTAAATTGGAAGACGTTTGATTTTTTTTGGCTCTAAGTTTGACCACTTGTCTTATTCAAAAAATTTGTGCAAATATAGTCAAATTTAAGTCATTCTTGAAAAAAATTTATTAATAAACCAAACCACGACGAAAGAAGTGATGTTTTACACAAATTTTTGAATAAGACGAGTGGTCAAACTTGGTGTCAAAAAAGTCAAACGTCTTACAATTTGGGATGGATTGAGTAGATTAGATATAGATTATGAAAAAGAATAGTAGTTTCCAAATTCCAATTCCCGTCCTAGCACGCCGTTTTCGGCAAAGCCACGCGTACGAGGCACCAGCGCTTCCGATGATTCCGCTGCGCCATTTCCTGCGGCACAAGGAACTTTCGATAGCGACACCGATCACACGACGCAGGGAATTGACCCGCTTGCCGGCTGGTACGCAGCGTGGTGGCGGCGCGGCATACGGTTTGCCTGGCCCCATGTGGCTCGGTGGGTGGCACGGACCCACCACATCCCTGAGCCTGTGAAACCAGCGACCCGCGACCGCACGGCTATGGGCGGCGGAGGTACTGGAATTTGATTCCGTGATTCGAACGAGTTACCATCGATCAGGTTCAGGCGTCACCAGATCACCACCGCATCAGCCGCCCGCGCCGCCGCCGGCGGCCGGCCCATTGCCTCACCACGCGCCCAAACTCGCTCTGCAGCTACAGGACGACACAAATCCCACCGCACCCCGCTCTGCAAACACACAGCGGTGCGCACCGTCTGACTGCAGCCTGCAGGTCTGCTATGGGCTATGGTCAGCATCCTGGACGACGGACGCCGACCGCTTGGCCGGTCACCGGTGGAGGCCATCGGACACCGACGTTCGCTGCAAGGCCGTGACTCCGGCCAAAACCGCGACGCAGCTCCACGTATCCGCCGCAGGCCGCGCCAAACTGGTTGCGAAGCCGCAAAACCACGCACGCGCACCTCATCAAAACCACCCCTCTCTCTTTCCGCTCCTCATCATTATTAAACACGAGATACCGGAGGCGCGACCGCCTCGTCCGCTTCTGCTTCTGGCAGCAAAGCGCACTAGTAGAGCTGCTAAACCTCGGGCCATCCCCCGCGGCGCGACACACCCAAAGGCCAGCCTCCGTCCCGTGCGCCGATCGCTCCGCTCCCCACGATGGCGTCGCACATCATCCTGCCGCCGGACGACGCCGACGAGAACCACAACCACCAGGCGGCGGCGGAGGAGCGGGAGGAGCTGGGGCGCGATGACGACGACGAGGAGCACGCGCACGGGCACCCCCCGGCGCTGCCGCCCAAGCCGGCGCTGCCGTTCTCCGCCATGTGCGTGCGGATCTCCCGCGACTCGTACCCGAACCTCCGCGCGCTCCGCAACGCCTCCTCCGTCAGCCTCGCCGACGCCGCCTACGTCAAGATCTCCGAGGGCGACTTCGGCTACGTCCTCGACGACGTGCCGCACTTCACCGACTACCTCCCCGACATCCCGGTGAGTGCCGGAAACCGATCCCCGCCCGCCTCCCGCCGCCCTGTCTCTGTAGAGACGATTTTTTGGGTTGGGGTGCTGCGCCTTTGTACGGAGGTCGCGCCCCGGCTTGTCGATGGTCTGTGTGCAGTAAGCTTCTGTAGCTATGAAGTGATTGGTGTGGCGAGTAGGAGTAACTGATTTTGGGGTGATTGCTTGCCATGTTTTGGCATTTGGTCAATTGGAATTTCTGTTACGGAGATCCATTTTGGAGACTAGGGTGGTGCAGCAGTTGAGCGTGACTGGAGCCGTTTAACATTCAGTTAAGATTGAAAAAGGTGGGCTAAATTTAGCAAATGAATCCTTATACTACTTTCTATAATATGGGGGTATCATGTGAACCATTACCTGATTCGTTAGCTTGGAGATTATGTTTTGTTCGGGAAGCAAGGTATCACACTATTGTCTGGTTCGTGCTTCCTGCCAAAAACTGTTACCACTCAACCAAAATGGAAGTCTGTAGTAAAAGGTGGACTACTCTATTGGTGACATTAGTCTACTTCTGTTGATGCATGCTGAACTTAGTTCACAACTTCACATTAGAACACTAAGGGAAACTATGATGGTGGAGTTGATGATTTGCTGTTTCTTCTTGTTGGCAGACCTATCATAATCCACTACAGGATCATCCGGCCTATTCAACTGTCAAGTATGTCTCGCCTTGCTTATACATTGTTTCACTGCTTTCATTTCGTTTGATCGATTTCTATGCATGTGTTGCTGTGCAATATGTTAAGCTGGAATTTTCTTATCATACCAGGCAGTATTTTGTCAATGAAGATGACACTGTACCACAAAAGGTAAAAAAGAGAGTTTAATCGGCACTTTGCATTGAGATATTGTTACACTGAATTTACAAGCGGTTATATCTGCTGTTGTTACAGGTTGTTGTTCAGAAGAACAGTCGGCGTGGTGTTCACTTCCGTCGTGCTGGGCCTCGTCAGAGGGTATGATACCCCTAGCCACCTCCTTTACTTGCGGGAACTCCTCACTCGTTTCTAGGCTGACAGAAACCTTTGGACTTGAATATTTTTAGATTTATTTTGGCACCGATGAAGTGAAGGCCTGCATTGTAACTTGTGGAGGCCTGTGCCCTGGGCTTAACACTGTTATCAGGGAACTGGTGTGTGGCTTGTCACACATGTACAATGTCAGCAGCATTTTTGGAATACAGGTGCATCCTCTTGTTAATGGTCATATATCACTCCAATGTATTTTTAAATAATTTTTGCATCTCATACAAGCTTTAATCCTTCTCCCTATAGTTTGCTGCTGTTCAGTAAAGGTCAGCTTACTTTAGATTCTTATCACATCTTATTATGTACATCATCATGTTTTAGTGCGTCATGTACAAAATTTCAGATCATGTTTGAATGAAACAATTTAATTGCCAAAATTATAATGTACTCCGCAGCTCCATTTTAATTGGCTGCAGTGGATAAAACAAAGCGCAGCTATGAAGTATACCTTGGGTGCTTGGTCAATTTGAGGGCCCTGTGCAGTTGGATAGCCGTGCGTTACATGCAATAAGCTTTTGGTCCGGGTTGGAATCAGGGGGGCTGATGTATCAATTAAGGGAGAAAAAAAAAAGATTTGTTCCCATTTCTTAAGCGAAGAAAGAAAGAAGGGTTGATATTTAGACCAAATTTTGTTGTTTTTAGTCAAATGTACTAGGTAATGACAAGAATCAATATTATGCTGACCAGTAGGGTAATCATTTTTTATGATCCTATATTTTAATATTATCTTAACATGTATTACAGAATGGATACAAGGGTTTCTATTCTAGCAACTACCTTCCCCTGACACCAAAGAGCGTCAATGACATCCACAAAAGGGGTGGTACAGTTCTAGGAACATCACGAGGTGGCCATGATACAAAAAAGATTGTTGATAACATTCAAGATCGTGGAATCAATCAGGTAAACATGATTGCACATATCACACCTATTGACATAACTCTTCTGATTGGAAAAGTTGACTGATATACTAGAACACCTTATCCAGGTGTATATCATCGGAGGAGATGGAACTCAGAAGGGAGCATATGAGATCTTCAAGGTAGTTATCATCGGCATGTGGTCCTCACGACATTTGTTTTCCAGCATAAATTTATAAGAATAGGGACCCTCTGTAAAATTGCATTGTAGTAATAAGAATATAGTAACTTCGATTTCTTTGACATGTGCTACTCTAGAAACAACATGGTCTACCTATATGTTCAGTAGAAGCAGGCAGTTTTACTGAAGATATTATTTACCCTATGACTATTTCATCACTTACAAATTATTGGCAGGAAATCAGGAAACGTGGCCTCAAAGTTTCTGTCGCTGGAGTTCCAAAGACAATAGATAATGACATTGTGGTAATATTCTGCAAGATATGTTTACTTTCTAAGTTTCTATGCAAAAGCCTTCTCTACATACCCTATTAATATGGCCACTCATATGTGAATGTGACACGCAAATCTCTTGATTTTTAGATCATCGACAAGTCTTTTGGTTTTGATACAGCTGTGGAAGAGGCCCAGCGCGCCATTAATTCAGCTCACGTGGAAGCTTGCAGTGCTGAGAATGGAATAGGTTTAGTAAAACTGATGGGTCGTTATAGTGGTTAGTATTCTAACAGATTCCATAGAGATGCCTGCTATATCTTTACATAGTAATTTTAATGATATCTAGGTGCCTTGAGTTGCTGAAAGTGCCTATCATACTTGCAATGAAAAGAAGAAAAAACATAATTATCATAAATACTAACCAAGCACTCTTAGTTCACATAGCCATTTCTATTCTCAATTGAGAGCGAAGAACCTTCTTTTTTTGTTTGCTTCAGGCATCTTGACTTTACCAGCTTATCTTCTTTCACTTTCTGCTCCTCTCTTATGTTGTCTTACTGTTGCAGGGTTCATTGCGATGTATGCTACTCTTGCTAGTCGAGATGTGGTAAGTCGATGACATCTTTATCTGCAGATGTTATGTTCTGCTGTAGTCTATTCTTTTTTATTCTTGCTCGCTTGTTGGAGTGTATTTTTTTCAAGCACCAGTGTTAGAATTATGATTTTCCATTTTCGACAGGACTGCTGTTTGATTCCAGAGTCTCCGTTTTATCTGGACGGAGAGGGTGGATTGCTTCAATATGTAGAAAAGAGGCTGAAAGAGAACAAGCACATGGTTATTGTTGTTGCTGAGGGAGCAGGGCAGGATCTTATTGCGAAAAGTATAGCCACATCAGATCAACAAGATGCATCTGGAAATAAGCTGCTTCTTGATATTGGTCTTTGGCTGACTCACAAGATAAAGGTATATAACTATATAACTAAAATATTTCTTGCTTCTGGATTTGAGCCAATTCCCTTGTAATTTTGGTATTCACTGTCTCGGGTATTGCAAAGGAACTAAATGACTCCACTATACTATTTGTGGTTCTTGAAAGTTTTGGTTAATTGACCTTGTGCTAATTCCTTGTAGGACTACTTCAAAAGCAAAAAGATGGAGATGACAATTAAATACATAGGTAGCCATTTGTAACTCGTATTTTCGCTATTGTTATAGTTGTAACACATTTCTAGATTGGTTTGTGACAATATTTCATCTGAATTCGCAGATCCTACATACATGATCCGTGCTATTCCAAGCAATGCATCAGACAATGTCTACTGCACACTTCTAGCTCACAGTGCTATCCATGGCGCAATGGCGGGGTATAGCTTCACTGTTGGAATGGTCAACGGAAGACATACCTATATACCTTTCTATGTGAGTAATAACCCCTCACAGACACTATGGTATTTTTCTGCTAGTTGACTGAGTGTTCGTTGTGACATCTGCTGTATAGTTCTGTTACATCCTGCCTAAATTCAGCAGGAGAACATAATCAGGTCAATTTTAAAAAGTCGCATTACTGATTCTTCCCACTAATGATGAACACCAAACTTTTGCTTTGATGGCAGAGGGTGACATCCACAAGGAACAAGGTTAAAGTCACTGACAGGATATGGGCAAGGCTTCTGTCGTCCACCAACCAGCCAAGTTTCGTGAGTCAGAAGGATATCGATGAAGCGAGTGAGGCGGATAGGCTGGCAAACAGGCCACCACTGCCAACGGGTGTCAGCTCTCGCGTGGCGAGGTCTTTTGATCAATCTTCGTCGTGTTCTTCGAATGGAGAGATCTAGTGCTTGCTGGTGCACCACAATTGTGTACAGAAACTACTACTATCGTTCTGAGCTCTGGTGCCAGGGCAGCTTGGCCACGCGATGAGTTTTGCTCTTGTTAGTCGTTACGCATGTGCCTTGTGTAGAGGGACACGCGGATATGACCCTGTTAGCACGTGTAATAAAGAAACGCCATTGATGATGCTACTTCCTGGATCTCTCCAGTTATCATGTATTTGCTGCAGAATATAAGGAGTTAATATGCAATCGGCAGATGATCTATCTGATCTTCACCTATCTGTAGTACCGTGCCTTTTCTTTTGGCACCGCAAAATTTGTAACAGTGTTACATCAAAATTGGCAGATCCTTCTGTTCTGGTTGAATGTGCATCTGCTTTCTTCTGGTACACCCTGCCTAAAACTTCCCAAGAGTTGGGGTATGCTTGTATCCTGTGTAGGAGAGACCTAGAGGAACTGAGGGATACATGATCTGATGCTATCAGATGCTGGCACAACACGTAATTAAGAAACACCACTAGGAAACATGGGGCACGGCATAGCCGTGCCACGTTTGATCTGCCCTTCCCTGTGGTGATTTTGTGGGGTTCCAAGAGCTTCAGAATCTTCTGATGAGAAAAATAACACTGTAACAGTAGTATTTGTATTGGCTATGTCAAAAAAAAATATAGTGAATTGTTGATGTAAGGGTACAAATCTCACGCTTGGCAAAGATACCGACATTGTAATATTCGTAAGATTACGTCCATTTGACGACAAGTATTACAATAGCGGCACTACAAATCTCACGTTTAGTATAACAAAGTAAAGACTCCCTCCGTCTCATAAGAACTCACTTCCCGAAAAATCAATCATTTTTTTTATCTTTAACCAACTATATATAAAAACATTAATATTTATGATACATAATTAATATTATTGATAGATCTTTGTTTTTTTTCATAATAAATTTTGAAATGATCAATATGACCAAGAGGGGGATGAATTGGACTAATTCTATATTTCTTGCAATAATTAAGCCCTACACTTAGCCCATTTCACCCCTTGTGCCTAGAAGTGTTTCTATTGTTCTATAACACAAGAGTTTTGCACCCTATGTTCCAATCCTACTCTAGCATGGCAATTCTAGGAATATAGAGACATGAATTGAATTGCTCAAATGTAAATGCTAAAAGTAAAGAGAGAAAGATGAACACGTCGATGTTTTCCCAAGGTATCGGAGAGTTGTCGCTCCCCACTAGTCCTCGCTGGAGCACCCGCGCAAGGGTGTAGCTCCCCCTTGATCCGCGCAAGGATCAAGTGCTCTCTACGGGCTGATTCTTCGACACTCCTTCGTGGTTGAAAGGGACCGTGACGCCTAAGGGGGGGTGAATTAGGTAACTTAAAAATCTAACTCTAAACTATGACATCTTTTTCTAACCTTAAAAAAACATATGCAAAAGATAAACTATCTAAATATGCAACTACGGTTTTACTAGTGTGTTGCTATCTCTACCGCAAAAGGAGTTATGCAAACAATGTAAATGTGGAAGATAAAAAGTAAGATAGAGATATACAAACTCCCGTCGATGACTCTGGTATTTTTACCGAGGTATCGAGAAGCACGCAAGCTTCCCCCTAGTCCTCGTTGGAGCCCCTCGCATGGAATCACTCGCAAGGGCCAAGCTCCCGGTCAGGTATCTCCGTGGATAGCCTCGGGCCTTCCCCACGCGCAAGTGGGTCTCCGACGTGCCTTCCGGCAAGCCTCTCCTGGATGCTCCCCATCGTCTTCACTATCAAGCTTCCAGCTGAACCGCCGCGGACCTTGTTCCCTTCGGTACACGGTGACGGCCACACCACAAACGTGGTTGGTGTGATCTCGCAAGACTACAATCCCCTCCGATGTACAACAATGGTGCACGCGAGCACTAAGTGGTAAGAGGTATGCAAACCTCACTAAACACTAGGTCTAAACCTAGAGCAAGCGCATAAGCGATGGTCTAATCAACCTAAGCACTTCGCAAAGCACCTACGCTAATCACCTAATGAATCACTAAGCACTATACAAGTGGAGATCACTAAAATGGTGTATCAACACTCTTGGTATGTTTCCTCAGCTCCACTATAATCAAATGGCTGGTTTGGGGGTCTATTTACAAGCCCCACTGAGAAAGTAGCCGTTGGAGGTGAAACCCAGCTTTCTGCTACTGACTGGACGCTGATCACGTCCTGACCAGACGTGTCTGGTCGTCCCGACCGTTGAGCGCGCACGCTGATCGGACTCTGGGCTGAGTCTGGTCATCATCGACCGGACACGTCCGGTCGTGCTGGCGCCGCTCTGGAATCTCTCTAGAAACGATCAGACGTTGCACTTCGTGCATCCGATCGTCTAGTGCTGTTGCGTCCGGTCACGCTGAAAACATTGCCGTGACGATGAACAGTGTCACCGGTGTGTCCGGTCACCGCTTCGCTCAGCGTCCGATCACTGCTGCTCAGTGTCCAGTCACAGCTGCCGACGCCTGGTGTTGCTGAGCAACTGATCAGACGTGTCCGGTCCTTATTAGGGTCGTGTTCGGTCACCTCTACCGAGCTTGTTTCTTCGCGATCTTGCATCCGGCTTGGTTCCCATCTTCGTGCTTGGACTTTACTTGATATCTTGGGTCTTCTCTTGTGTTTATAGGGTCTTGCTTATGGTGTTTATCGTGGGATCATCATGTCACCTTCGTCCAAGTAACGTCTTGCACCCTATTGAACTACAAAACAATTACTTACAAATTTATTAGTCCAATTTGGTTTTGTTGGTCATCAAACACCAAAATCCAAAGTAAATAGACCTAGGGTCCATTTTTCATACAGTGGTGAATCGCCCACAACTGCTCACACCATGACTTGGCCCATCCACAAGCTCCACCGGATGATCACCAAGTTCCCAATCACCACCAAGCCGTCTAGGTGATGGCGATCACCAAGAGTAACAAGCACAAGCTCTCATTTGACCAAGACAAGCCTAATGAGAAGGGTGGATGCACACTTGCTACTCCATATACACTAATGAGGTCCTTAATCTTAGATTATCAAATCTCAATCACCCCACTAGGATCTTGCTCTCCCGTGCACTCCAAAGGTGTTTCTCAGCTAAATATATGGGCAAGAGAGATAAGTTGGACGAGTAGGAGAGGTATTTATACTCCCCGCTTCAAAACAGACTCGTTGGGGTCCAACTTAGCATATTTCGGGGTGACCGAACACTCAGGTCAAAGTGACTAGACACGTCCGGTCAGTGGCCAATGGCTACATGACGCCAACCCAGTTATCAGAGACCGGACTCTGACTAGCGTCCAGTCGCCACCCATCAGACGCGTCTGGTCAAAAATTTCCTTCTCTGGATGCTTACTGTTGTTGACCGAACGCTACCTCTAGTGCGTCTGGTCACAACATCCTCAGCGTCCGGTCGAAAAGCAAACCCTAGCAACGCGAGCTAATACTGACCGGACGCGGCATCTGTGAGTCCGGTCCAGCGTCCGGTCGATGAACACACCCTAGCTACATGAGCTAACACTGACCCGACGTGGCACCTGTGTGTCCGGTCCAGCGTCCGGTCATCATCCAAGTCTCTATTCACCTCAAATTTTACCAACTTTGAAAATAACATCGACTTCAATTGATTTATGGGCTATCCTTGAGCTACCTAGTGCTAAGTTTGACAAGTGTGCACCACACCTAAACCATTAGACTCATCTAGGTCAAGCTACTAGTTCATACCTCCCTTAATAGTATGGCCAAAGGAAAAGAAACAAAATCCTAAATTACTCTAAGTGTCTCTCCAACGCCAAACGACACTTAGAACTAGTCCGTCCTTAACCTTGTTGTCTATCCTTTGAAAACCAAAGCGATTTCCATCAATAGGGGCATGAAAACCATAATTGCCCAATCAATCACCATTACCATGACCTAACTCAAGTTGCCTCTGCAAAACACACATTAGTCACAGTAATCCTGTGTCGTCATTAATCATCGAAACCAAACTAGGGGCCTAGATGCTTTCAATCTCCCCCTTTTTGGTGATTGATGACAACACAACCTCGAGTATGTATAAAAGATGAGTGAGGTTTTCAACATGCTTGGTTCATATTAGCAATTGACAATAGAAACAAAGGAGGGTTAGGCATGCTTATATGATCCAAGCCAACACAATGTACTTACAAGGTATGAAATAAGCATAAGTATACAAAGTAAAGCTCATTTGTATCAGAGTAAAACGTGGAAGCAAAGCAAATGAGCATAATCAAGTGACATGACATATATATCAAGGTAGAGAGCACACATGTCATATAAGTCTCACACATATATCACATATAACATAATGCATGAGAGTAAATATGAATGCATGAAATATCACACACAAAAGAACGAGTCCATCTCACACTCTCCCCCTAAATCTAACATACTCGCTCCCTCTCCCCCTTTGGCATCAAGCATCAAAACCTAAGGATTAAACGGTGGGGTAGCAGCAGATGAGTTGGGCGCTGAGGTACGGTGAGAGATCTGAAACTGAGCTACATCATCCTTAGACCTGGAACTCTGAGCGGTCAAACCCTCCGTCACTGGAAGTGGAGGTGAAGCGGTCTGGGTCTGCTCTGTGGTCTCAGTAACTAGGTCAGCTAGCTGTGAAGTAGAAGCTGAAGTAGTAGCCTGACCCTGTGGTTCAGAAGGTGTCACTATAGGAAGTGTAGCCTCAACTGCCACTGTTGCTGAAACCTTAAGGGTGGAGGTGACTATCAGAGGCGGCTCGGATGAAGCAACAGAGGACGATATTGTCTCAGTACTCCCTATGACGGGAGCGGCTGTGGTAGGAGCACGAGCTCTAAACTCAGGCGATGTAGGCTATCCTCTGAGCTCACTGAAAATAGCACCCAGACTCCTGGAGACAGGGGTGTCCGTCACTAGCACTGACGTGGACTGAGTAGGAGTGAAGCCCATGACTATAGGAGTGAAGTGCTGAGCCTGTTTTGTCCCTAGTGAAG